ATAAAAATGGCCTCTACATGTCAAATAGTCTTAATTTAGTATAAAGTAAAACTGTCTAAAATAGACTACCTACCCCCAAAATACTGTATACTTTTGTACCTTGGTATATGTTGTTCTAGTTCAGATGTCCTTGAATAAAGAATAGTTCCTTGTGGTCTAAATAGGTCAACATTTTTAGTTATCCAAGAACAAATTTTTAGAAAAGATATATATGGCATGGTGAGGAGAGACTGCTTACATAGCCAAGCAAATCAACTCTGAGGGCCAACGGGGGAACAGATGTCACAACCAGACTGTCCTTGCCATGTAACTCAGAGGCCTCTGCATGGAAAGCTCCTGGCTATTGAAATTGTGCAGAAAGAAGGATGTCTGTGGGAATGCTGGAGTAAATACCTCTGCAAAGGCCATTCTTCCTGAGGCACTAAGAAACAACATTGCCAAAAAATGCTCAAATCAACGTTTTCAAATCTGGGTAATTAAAGACAGGCTTGCAAAGATCTGAAGGGCATTTATCCCATAAAAACAGATGAATCTCAATAAAAAACAACAGGATGGGTGGTGTATCAACCTGCACTAGTGCCATCCCTGACTCCCTGCTTTGTGTTCATCTTGAAAACCAAACCTCCATCGACAGAGTGAAAACTGGAATCTCAGTGAGCCTGGATGAGGCAGATTGAGCAAGAAGTACCAAAAATACAATTCCAAAACAATTGCCATTATCTAACCTGTAGAACAATTCCCTAAAACTTGCCATTTGTGTAGCTTTTCCTAATTTGACCTGACTAGGAGCCTACTTGCTGTGGAAGAACTCTATCCCCAGGAAATATTTGTCAAAACCATCAGTGGCAATTATTTAACACTGTAGCTGCTTCAGGGCAGTAAGAACAAGTGGGGCAAAGAAGCAGCTAACCAAAAGCCTGAAATTTGGGATGAGGTGTTCACTGGGGCACATAAGCATAATCATAACAGAAATGGAAAACCTTACATTTTCACCTATCTGGGCTCTGTACTAGCAGGGAGTGCAGCGAGAGGTAGGTCTGTACACTAGGAGCGCTGGTGGCATACAGAGGGAGGCCTCCAGTAAATGCCGGGCTATGAGGCATTTGCTGACATAAGGCAACTGCTGTAGAGTCATTAGCCATCTGTGAAGGGAACTGAGCCATACTGGAGTGGCTGCATACAGCAGAGAACATAGGTTCAGGAAAAGTACTAACTAAACAAGTAACATCTGCAACAAAAATCTAGGGAGGCAGGGGGGGCAGAATCTGCCCCCAGAGCTGCCAATTACACTACTCAGCATCTCATCCTCAACAACAAAAATAGATATGAAGACATTATGACTCATACACATGAAAACAACCAGCTAATAAAAATTATCTCTGAAGACATCCAGACATTAATATTAACAAAGACTACTGTAATTCAAAGGACAAAGGGAGTCATATTTGCAAAGCTAGCAGAAGGCATGATAAGGTATTTTGCCAAATATGGGGTTATCAGTAGAAGGATTTTGTGTGTATGGAGCTGGGAGTTGAACCCAAGGCCTAATGTATACTGGTCAAGTTCTCTGCTACTGATCTAAACCTCCAGCAGAACGTGTGGACAGGGCATAGCCTATGTTAAAAGGATGTATTCGTACTTTCATTCTTTAGGAGGCAAACTATGTGCAAACACTAATAATGGTTTGTTTGCTAAAAGTTAATCTTTGTCCTAGATGTCATCCGAGTGACTGGCTACAGAGAAATGTGAGACTAGGTATCCTTGGTGTCTGTGAACCACCATTACCATCCTATCGCCTCCCACTGCTACTCCATGCTAAGTGGGGAGATGAAATAGAGAAAATAGCCAGCATGATAAATCCCAGAGGCAAGACTGACCAGAGGGATGGGACAAACTTTGGAATGACTTTCCTCTATCTATATGATCTGCTGTCTAAAGACCAGATAGGAGATAGACATTTTAGATGCTAATCCACTGTCTTCTCAGATTTTGGGCTCTCTGAAACAAAAACAAAAGCACAAACTAAAAATTCAATTCCTGTTTTTTGCCTATGTGATAGTCAGGCCACTTAAGGGGAATCAAATAGAATCTCTGTATATAAAAACTCTGAATAATTATCATAAAAGTTCACCACAGAGATTCCATAGCCAATGCGAATAGACTAAAGACTCAACAAACATCAATATAGGTCACTTGAGATTGTTCTCCCTGATCTGAAAAAAGAGTGGAGTGAGATAGAGAGTCAGAAATCCATGGGGATTATCAAGCACACCACCAACTGATGCATAATGGGAGTCTCAAAAGAAGTGAAGGAAAACATGCGGGCAGCAGTTGAAGAAATGTCTAAAGAATTTCTAAAAGCTAATGGAAATATTTATATACACATCCAAGAGGTTCAGGGAACTTCAAGATAACTCGGCAACATCCATAACTGTACACATAAAATCAACTTATGTCTTAGTTAAGGTTACTAATGCTGTAATGAAAAGCATGACCAAAGGCAAACGAGGGAGGAAATGGTTTATTTGGCTTATGATTCCACGTCACTCACTGTTTGTCATCAAAGAAAGTCAGGCAGGAGCTCAAACAGGGCAGGAACATAAAGGCAGGAGTTGATGCAGAGGCCATGGAGGGAAACTGCTTCCTGGCTTGTTCCTCAAGACTTGCTTTGCCTGCTTTCTTATAGAATCTAAGACCACCAGCCTTGGGATGGCACCTACAATGGGATGGGCCTTCTCCATCAATTTCTAATTAAGAAAATGCCCTACTAGCTTGCCTACATGCACAACTTATGGAGGCATATGCTCAATTAAAGTTCCTTCCTCTCCATTGTGCTAGGTTCACATAAAACTAGTCAGCACCACTTATCAGAGACGAAAAGTCTCATGAAGACAGCAAAGCATACCTACATCTTTATTGACTCTTACAAGAAGCACAGCTGAGTTTGGAAGGCAAAGGTATAAATAATAGTTATGTAATAATAGAAATAAATGTCAACTGGGAATTCTCTTTCAAAGTTAAAAAGTGAGACACTCCCAGTTGAACAAAATATGAGTGACTGTCTTACTAGAAGACCTGTCTACAATGCATTCTAGTCCTCAGAGAAAATGCTAACTCAAATCCTCACAACAAAATAAATGTAAAGTATTACTAGTTGGATAGCCAATATACATTTGTTTTATTGCTACTTGTAACACTTTTTACCATATCTTATTTGGAAGACCCCATATAGAAGAACAGTTATATATTTATGTTGGTGAGTATATAATATACAACATCTTGAAGTGTCTAGAAAATACTACTATTGCTATCAAAAAGCAACAGAGTTCATTGCACTGTCAAAATTAAGTTGACACTGACCCAAAGAAAGTTGCTATAATTTAATTTTAAGAGTATTCTTAGCACTAAGAAAATAACTTCAAAGACAGGTAAATGAATGACAAGAAACTAAAGTGATACACTGGAAACTGGATTGTGATACAAAATAAGACATTATCAGAGCATCAAAGACATAGAATATAATATGAAAAGACAAAGTAATACATAGATTCAAGGCTATGAGTAATGGCACCGAATTTAAATAAATTTAAACACTCTGGGCAAAAGGCAGACATTAACAAAATGAATTTTATTATTCCCTTAAGACTTGTGGATCATCCAAAAAGAATGTAAGGGGTAGAAGACAGGCAGAAGTGCTTGACAATGCCTTCTTCTAAGCACAGCACAGCCATGGCAAGTCTTCTTGGCTTCAGATATATTGGGCATATGGCCTGCCTGAGATCATCTCTAGCAGCTCAGAAATTCTGCCAACAAAAACAATCCACTCACTGCCAAATTGTTGAATGTAGAGTCTACTAACCAATGGATCCCAATCCTGCAGATGTATCAGCTTGTCAGCGTTCCACTCTCAATGAGCAAGAAACAGATAGCCATCATGTGTTTGACAGAGGTCTCTAGTATCCAAGACAGAGACCAAGGCAACCAGAAAGCAATGGCCACTAAGATTTAGTGGAGTGTAGAAGATTCTGAAAAGTTCTGATTAATCCTCAATCATTGCACTCATGAAACTAAGAGCAGGCTGCTATTTGTAAACTATAAAAATAACATCCATTAAATAAGAGAATGTTCTTGTGATTTCAACATTTCTATCATAAATGAGTTAGAGGAGAGAAGGCAAATGTGTAAAACAAATAAGACTGAGAAGTGGATGTTAGAAGAGAAAAAGTTCAAAGGAGAAAATAAAAAATAGGAAGAATTAAAAACATAGTAAATAAATGAGGACAATTAATCATAACAAATGTTAGAAGTCCTAGAGTTGAGGACCATGCAACTCTGTATTGAGACCACGCATCTGAGAGCCTTTTGATTATTTCTTTAGACACACACACACACACATACACACACACACACACACACACACACACACACACACACACACACACACCAAGGTGTGCCAATAAAGTCTTTGAAGAGAAATTGTCATTTTTCAACTCAGAGAAAGGGAAAATTAAAACATCAGCATAAGGAAGAGACTTTTCAGGATTCTAACATACAAATAAGAAAAAAACCCTGGTATTATAATATATATCAAATAAATACAGCCTAAATAATATGCTGTGGTTTTTAACATTTCCTATTTTCAAGAAATAGTAAACAAAAGACAATAGAAAGTATTCTAACAGAGACATTTGGGTAACTCCTATAATAACTAAGTAAATGGAATTCTGCTATTGTAGAAATTTATTTTATTAACTTTTAAAAATCAGCATTCTGAGATTGAAAGTGCCTGCGTTCTTGGATTTCACTGAATATTAATTTTAGTCATGTGGCATTTGACTGTATTCCTTAGCTATTCTTCTTTTGGCACCTGAAATATAAAATATTTACCAACATTAACCTTGTGAAATTAAGTCATGAGAATTGGAGCTACCTGTAAATATGACCAAAAACCCTTGCCACCTTGCAATGATTCTTTCTCATCATACTGGTCACACACTCACCTTGAGGATCAACTTCTTTAGCTAGCTTCAGTGCATCCGAGTTTGCAAGATCGGTGTTGGCTGGAGTGACAGCCAAGATCAGACAGTTCTCCCTCGTGATGAACTGCATGATCATATCTCTGATCTGATACTCAATATCTGGGGGCTGGTCTCCTACGGGCACTTTCGTTATCCCAGGTAAGTCGATTAGCGTTAGATTTAACACTGTGTGGGAAAGAATGGGAGAGTCTTACAAATACCTTCCATCCAAAAGATACCCATAAGGCTATCAAAAAGACACCCTAGATGGCTGCATCAGCTTCCACTTAGCTCAGCTCTACGTGTTGTGTATGTGGATGGCTCTATCACAAGTGAGAAGGAAAGGCATTGAATACAAAATGGGTTTGCTAGTTTTCTCTATTTTTACATGATTGAGCTAAGCCAAATGATCATCTTAACATACTCTGAAAGGCATTGATTTACATGCCTACCAGTTTGCTGAGAGAGCTGTCATCCCTTCGCTGTCATAATGAGGCAGCTATAATTAAAACACCCAACAATACATGCATATGCTGTCTGAGGTTTTGAACATTGCCTTCAAATGGTATAAAAATTCTCAGGGTAACAGTTGCCCTTCCCCTTCAAAAGCATCATATGTTATTTCCAGAAGGTTAGCCACTTAGCCTGTGGGGAAGCTGTGAGCCATTTGTGGTGCTTTATTTCGGAGTGAGTGGGCTATACAAGCAGTCAGTGGCAAGGTGATACCAGCCCAACCTGACTACTGTCTCCTGGGTGTGGATACCAAGTGCCTACATGAATTTATGATGACTGTGATAAAAATCACACTTGGTTCCCCCGGGATAGGATAAATAGAAATGTAAAATGGCTACAAGGAGATCAACAGGAAGGACTCAACCATATACCTCTAAATATTTTGGCAAAGACTAAATAAAGACAATAATAATAATAATCATGTGCCCACCTTCTGATGTACTGAAAGTTCATAATAAAAAATGAAAATTTTCTCAATTCTCAAGTCAATTCTGGATGTTATCAGTCACTCTCCTCCTGCTTCTCTCCACCACCCAACATCCCGGAGACCCACACTATTCACATGTTCTACAATGAATGTGAATTTGTCTAGTGAGTAATGTCTGAGGAGACTCATTCAAATTTAAATATTACACTTACCATGTGGAGAATAGACTCGGAGGTTAATGGGTATAGAAGAGATACCCTTATTCATTCCTGTCACTCGGTCTGTTTCTGCTTCAATCTCATGGCGAACTTCATCAAAATCTGTAAATTTTTTTCCTTTGCAATGTAGAAATTCTGCATATTCTAAAACAAACAAAAAACAAAGAAATTCAAGCATTTATGTCAAGGAAACAATATCTTAATTAAGAACAACTCAAATTACCCATGTTGTTCCTCAGCTAACAAAACAAGTCAGTAGTTACTAATACTGATAATTCTCTAAAAATATCAAATTTGCTAAGTTTCAGATAAGAATTAAGTCCTATACCTGTCCTTATGCCACCAAGTCTACCAAATGATAAAATACAATTGTGGCTGGTTAAATGACAAAACAAAAAATGGTACCCTGTTATTAAAGACTGTAGGTCTGGGGTATGAAAACACCCACCTACTAACCATTTCATTAGGATGGAATGCTGTCTTACACAAATACATCTTCAGAAGCTAGGTAACTTATAAATAGCATTTGCTCAGTTCTTTTTAAATGAAGTGTTTTAGGGTTAGCAACATACTATTCAAACTATCATATCAACTTGTATAAGTAGAAATTTTTCTTAAGAAAAAATAGACACAATATTAGATCAAAAGTATTGGCTGCTGACCCGAGCTAGTGAGAGATCACTGACTCAGGTCTGACAAATGGGGAACCAATATAAGACCAAACTGGGACAAAATATGAGGCCACTGGCAGTGGGTCCAAGATCTAACACTGATGCACAAACTGACTTAGTGGAGCCCATTCTATATGGAGAGATACATTGCCCAGCTTAGACACAGGAGTATGGAGGTGGAGAGTTGGCTTGGCCCTGCCTCAACTAGATGATAGAACAGATTTCGACTTCCTAGAGGAGGCCTTACCCTCTCCGTGGAGTAGATGGGAAGAGGGGAGTGGGGGGGAGTGAGAGGAGAGAAGGGAGAGGAAACTGGGATTGGAATGTTAAAAAAACTAATAAATGCAATAAAATAAAATATTTACAAAAAAAGTATTGGCTGCAATAAAAAAATTACTATGCAGACAGAAGAAAGAATCCTAAAATAACTGTATAAATAACAAAAAAGGAGAGAGGTTGTTTGTTTGATTGTTGGTTGACATTTTGTTTCCATTTATTCCATTTTTTGAGGCAATATCTGGCTACATAGTCCGGGCTGATCTGGAATTTGCTATGTAGCCCAGGCTGGTCTCAATCTCCTGCCCTGGCCTCCCAAGTACTGAAATTGCAGAGGCATGCCACTGCCTCCAAACTGCCACTTCTAGAGATACCTATGAAAACAGAACTTTACAATAGTCATAACAGTAAGCAATTTGGAGCAGATATGTTTATTTCTCCAAGTTGAAGAAATGCTCCATCAAACATACAATAAAGATGAGCATCTTGGTCTCAATGGATAGTTGAAGCTAGGACTGGCAGCCTTTCTACATTCCTTGCCATAGACATTGAAAATCCACCCAAGAAAATTGGGCAAAGCCAAGGGGTACATTGTTTTAGAGAGTGACCCCTCTTCATCAGGCACCATAGCACTGACTCGCGGAGACACGTTGTATCACAAAGTTAACACAGGTTTTGTGGAGGAGGTACTAGTCTGTAGTCTAAATGCTAGGACATGAGAGATAGAGAACTGAAGTGGAGGAGGAACAGAGTGCTGAAGTGTAGGAAGAATTTCATGCCATACAGGAAGAAAGACGAAATCAGAATCTTAACTGTGTCAACATGTACTCACTCATATATGGATTCTAGATATGGATCAGGATAGTGCCAGTCTGCACTTCCACAGATAGAGAGTCTGGGAAACAGAAAAGAACCTAAAAGATATGCATATATGCATAGTACCCAAGAGAAGAGGATGGAGACAAGATCCTCTGAATGGATGGGGAACACGGCGAGGGGTGGGGGGAGTGGGACCTGGGAAGAATAGAGGGGGTAAAGAGGAAGGGAGTTGGTCATGGGGGAACAGGAAGTTGAGGGGGTGGGGGTAGAATAGGGGGAAGAGGGAATCATAGGATCGAAGACAGATCAGGCACCAGAGTGACCTCGAGTGATCTAAAGGTATAACATCAATTGGCAAGCTAAGCAATAGTGGAGGGACCACCTCGAATGCCCATTCCTGATAATGAACTTGATGTCTATAACCATCCGGGAGCCTTCATCCTGTGACTGATGGAAGCAGAGGGAAACACACAACTAAGCACTGAACTGAACCCAAGGAACCCAGTGACAGAGAGAGAGGAGTGATGAGCAAATTGGCAAAGAATGGGCTGGCAAAACCAGCAGAGACAGCTGATCTGAACAGGGAGTGCTCTTGGACCCCAGACCGACAGTGGGGAGGCCAGCATGGGACTGATCTGGACCCCCAAATGTGAGTGTCAGTGAGAAGGCCTGGGCAACCTATGGGGCCCTGAGCTGTGGATCAGTGTCTATCCCTGGTATACAAACTGTCTTCATGTGCCTATAGCACAAAGAGAGATGCTCTCTCAGCCTGGACTCTTAGGGGAGTGCCTTGACCCTACCAAGAGTAAAATGACAGACTCTAGATATCCCCTATGTGGAAGGATTTGGCAATAGGGTGGGAAGGGGGGGGAAGGGGAGTGCGGGAGGAGGGGAGGGAGAGGGAACTGGGATTGACATGTAAAACAAGCTATTTAAAATTAAAATAAAAAATGATAAAAAAAAGAAATGGAAAGATGGGAAAAACTATGAGGGTTTTTTCAACCTTTTGTTTTAATTCCAAGATTGTCTAGAGCTGTACTGTCACAAGAAATTTCAACTAAGGAAGTTTTATTTCAAAATGGAATCAGGACTTGGGGAAAAAAGATAAAAAAAAAAAAAACCAAATCCCTGGCAGAAACCTCTGCTTGCCACCCAACTGATGATGAACTAAAGATTTGACCTCTTACTTGAGGGTTTCAAATCAGTTTTAATTGGAAAATAATTCTTCATGCTGACATAAAATCAGCATATTCCTTATCTTATCCCACTGCTTCAACCTTGCCTTTTAGTGCTGCATAAATAATAGCCTAGCAAATGAAAAGACCTGGGACTAACCTGAGTGTACACACTCCGAGGTCGCCTCCTTCCCGGAACTCTCATCACCTGCCTGGCTTAGCTGGCTCCAGTCTTCTACCAGAAGACAAGCATTTCTCAGCTCCACCCCAGCAATGAGAATGAAAAGGCAAAGACTCCTGAAACGAACTAAAGTTCTGCTTCAAGCCACCAACATTCTGAGCCGACCTACCTTTCCAAATGGTAGAGTGACAGTCACAGAGCAGCAGACTTGCTGTCTTTCCTATCAAGACGTACAGGTATAATTTCTCCCTTCTTAGGTTCTCCACACAATAACCAGTTCGCTCTCTATGACATACTGAGCTAACTCTGATGGGCCATCCTTTTGATGCTGGTGTGTGCACAATATTGGTTCACCAGGCTGCAGGGATCTGCCCTGGAGAGATCACTTCACTATCTGGCCTGTCTTATCCTACAGTTTTACTCCGCCATCTACCTTTGGTATCAGAATACTGTTCACCAGAAGAGAGGCCCTTCATTTCATTATCCGTTCAACTTGCGGGAATGTGAGGCTTCAAAAGTAAGTATACGGCCAATGTACAGGGGAAGAAAAAGGAAATCAGATCTCAAAAACTAAATAAAAATTTACATTAGAGAGGCCCCAGGATCTAGCTCAGTGATGTGTATGGATATTGAGCACAGACAAGGCCCTGAATTTGACCCCCCCCCCCACACACACAGTGGAGAGGTGGGAAGTAACTAAATTAAAAAGAAGTAAAACTGTTTATTTCCAGACCAATATAATCCACTGAAAACACACTCAAGGACTTGCAGCTATCCTAATTATTACTGTCAGAAAGGTTATAGTCATAACTTCTCTGTTGCAGCCACATTTTCACCTGTTAATACACTTTCGCAGAGTAACTGGTCAAGTGCGGAGAATAAACGGTTGAATGCTTAGCCCTGAATGGGAAAACTGGATCACACCCTCTAAGACTGAGGGCATGCCACAGAAAGAGTCCATGGAAGGAGTGTCCATAAGAGCTGGAGGACTGGGGAGTTCTAAGAAAACATTGTCTGCTGCATATGACATGGTGGATGGACTCATGAAACACCGCCGTGAGCATGGGAGCGCAGAGACCTACACAAGAAAGTAAGACGTGAAAACAGGGAGAGTAGGGAGGTATTGTGTTCTTAGGAGTGGGGGAGGGACACAAGACAGCAAAAAGGATCGAACATGTTTATAATGCTTTATGTAACTGTGTCAAATGGTCAATGTTAAATTAATACAAATTTAATGACAAAATTTTGAGTAGCAAAATGGGGGTTTCCTCGGTTGCCACTAGGTGGCACCTACTTGCTGCCTCTGCAGGGACCTAACGGATGTCCTTCGAGAAGGTTGTAAAGCCAGTGAGATTTTCAATTAGATTTAAATTAGTTCCCGGGCTCCTAAAAATAATTTCATCCTAGAACTTGGAGAGTCTACGTGTGCAGAATCATTGGAAACTTTGTGTCCCACAAATGAATTCTGAGAAGTCTTTATTTACTTAGTTATTTGATGAATATTTATCGAAGTCTACTTGTAGAAACTAGGGTTTAATAGAGGGCAAGAAAAGACTCTTGGCTCACAAAGTTAGTATCCAATGACGTTACATAGTAACAATGTGTACATTCCAGACGCTAAGGGACGCTAAAGGTGGCAGAGACAATAAAATGACAGGGAGCGCCAGATATTGTGGGAGATTTTGGAGTCGTGTTCTGATTGATTGAGTAAGGCTTCTTCTATGCGATTAAGCGGCATTTGGGCAAAGACTGAGGAAGAGGAGGGAGCAAACTATCTCTGTGTGTAAGAGTGCCTGAAGCAAGAAGGCCGATACAGCTGGAGATGGGGACAGGCGTGGATGATGGAGAGCCATTTTAATGACTTTTGTTTTTACCACAAGCGGTACTGTGGACTACAGAGGGCGAGGTCAGAAACAAAACATGACGCGATTGAAAAGATTGTTAACACTGGCTGCTGTGTTAAGGAAGAACAATAGGAAGCTTGAGGAAGCTTGAGGAAGCTGATGCGAGAATAACACAAGTCGTAGTAGAAGGGGCTTGAGGCAGAGGCACCAAGGTGAGTTGAGAAATGGTTGAATTCAAATATACTTAGAAGGAAAAATAAATAGAATCTGCTGATGGGTTTGAGCAGAACTGCGGAACAAGGTGCCAAGCGTAGCTTCACTGGATTCCACCTCAGTAATCAGAATAATTCCCAAGTAGAGGACACCGAAAGGAAGGGATTGTGACAAGATGAGGAAGGGGACAGAAGTCAGGAGTTTGGGTGGGACTCACTGAGTTGCACACCCACGGCAGCTCAGTGTTAGAGCAACACTATTTGTTTGGTTTAATCTAGTGTATGTTGACTCTGATAACTTCCCAGAAGATGGCGGTCAAGTGCTTGCAGGGAAAAAAATGTGGCTTTTTCTAATTAGGATGAAAATGTCTCTGGGGGTTCATTACTAGAATCTTTCATGCAGGGAGAAGTCTGAGCTAGATAAATGTATGCATGCATGTATGTATGTATGTATGTATGTATGTATGTATGTATGTATGTATTTGGAACTTATTACATTTCGGCAAAAACAGAGAGCAAAGTGGCAGAGCACTGGGCCCAGGTGTGGGAATCGGGAAATCAAATAGAGTGGTGAGAGAAAACTCTGGAGAGGTGAGCAGAAGTCCAGTAAGGAGGACCTCCTGAAGGAAGCAGACCTTCCACGGGACCCTTCGGGAAGCCAGTAAGTGGGAGAAAGGTATGGGAGAAAGGATGGCGGAATCAGGATCACAAGAAACTGAGAAGGCAGGAAACAGAGACCATGGTGAGCAACGCTTGTACGGAGTTTGGTTGTACCAGAGAGGCCTGGCAGGACTGCAGGGGCCAGATGAGACGTCAAGAGAGCTCCTTGTAACACAAGCAAACCAACAGGGCATAATTCAGCATTACAACAAAGGTAGCAATGTAACAGTGAGAAATGACAGATGCTGAAGCCATGGCTTAGAGAAGAGACAACCTGAGGTCAGAGACCAAGAGAGTGAGAACTTGTCATACTTATCTGAAGTCAATGACTTCAAAAACACTCCTGGGGTCAGCAAAAGGCTCAGCGCTATTAAAACTGACAGCGTGAGTTTGACTCTGGAGTTCACATGGTAGAAGGAGAGAGCCCACTCCCACAAATTATCCTCTGACCTACACACGCGCACATACACACAAACACACACACACACACACTGATAAATGTAAAATAAATGTTTTTTTAATGGAGTAGAGAGAGGGCTCAGTGGTTAAGAGCACATACTTCTCTTGCAGAGGACCTGGGTTCAGTTCCCAAGACACATGTCAACTCAATTATCTGTTAACTACAGTTTCAGAGGATCCAATGCCCTCTTCTGGACTCTACAGACATTGATATTGTGTGTACATACATACAGATAAAGTACTCATACGTATAAATAAAAATAAATAACAAAAATTAAATAAATTTAAAAAAAGAATGTCTACATGTATTTTCACTGGTTATTACTCACACAACAATGGTATTTCTACAACAACGTAAATTACACAGATAGAAACACAGTGAGTGAGTACACATGTACCTGCCAGTTGTAGATGGGTTCTAAATTAGTACAAAGAAAAAATTACCATAACAAGGATGTCAATTTGGACTTAACCTATATCTATCTCTGGGTTCATATCTGCCTAGTGTTTTATGAAAATTGATGGGGCAGGGGTTACAACACACTTAAATTTTCTATGGAGTCAAATCTTACAGGATGGGAAAGAATGGGTGCTTTGAATATTCGGTTAAAACCAGCAGAGCTGAGTTTTCAGAGAGAAACTGTCTACAATCCATCTTCTACTTCAATCTGAGACTCACGAGTCGGCTTCCCTTCATATCTAGCCATATGGTGAGGATTGCCAGATGCATGTCCTGCTTTCTTATTAGAAAAAAATGGTTCCTGTAACAGCAGTTCTCAGCCATGGGGTTAGATTGCTCAACAACTGAGTTTCTCTAGCAGCAAATCCAGTTGCCCAGTGCAGTGAAGGAATGTCTGTACCTAGCAGGCAGGCCATTTGTGAGTGGAGAGTAGAGGCAGTGTGAACCGTTTTGTACATCTGACCACTGGTACTAGGGGAGTGGGGACACTGGACAGCATAAACTGTCACAATTTTCAAGTAAATCCTAGTGAGCAATGCAAAGTCTAAAATGTGTACGTCCCTGCTCAGAGAGGGGTATCACAAAACCATTGTACCACTCATTCAGGGAAATTAGTTAGGTATGAGTCTGGGCATGAAGGAAATTCTAACTGATCCTAAACTAAACTCCATAAAAAAGGTTTTTGAGCCACTGAGCAGTGAGACTTTAAGGACCCGGCAAAAGTGCACCTTCTGCCACTTTTGTATACAATGGTAAATGATTTTGCTTGAAGGTCTACCAGGCACAACCTCATTTTATGATTCTGAGATGCGTTCTTTCTCAAAGAGCACAGTTTCCAGTAATGAGCTCTCCTGCCACATCCACAGTGTTCTTTTCACCCCGAAGGCTGTGACACAAAACAATGCCAGGATGGATCTGAACAGACAGTGCATTCAGTATCTTTACCATGAGCCAACATAAAAGATGAAGACTGTGTGCACATAAGCCCGAAGCCCTGGGAATGCACGTGAAACTCTAATTTGGGGCAGTAGAACCTTTCTTACAGAAATTCTTACTTCTTCAGTTTCACAGAGCAGAACCCTTAGTTTTAAATGCCCTTCCTGTTTTCTGAATGTTAGCATAAGCCTGTACTGAAGCATCGACAGGGTACACTTCATACCATACAATGATAATGGGAAGAGTAGCCTTTAAACCAGAACTATGACTCTTTTAGTTTTGGTTCCCTGTACAACAATTAGCACTGTCGTTTTGACTGAAAATGAAAAAACAAATTATGCTAGGTTAAACAGCTGACAAACTGTGTGGGGGAAAGATGAGACAGTTTATGCCTGGGCATCATTCCAATCATCTGTGAAAAGCACAGCATGACCATAAGAATTTAAATGTTTCCAATATGCCCCTTCCACGGGGAAAACACATACATGTTTCAATTACTCAAGGTTAACTAGAGAGCAACAATTATGGAGAGCTAGTGTGCAAGTTCTTGTCAATCTTTATTCTGAGATCTATGGTCCTTGGTATTTTATCTGCTGCCTTAGTTTTGAAATATTCTGATAATGCAGTTTTATGAGCAAAGGGCTCCAATGAAAATAGAATGTGTGAATCACATAAGCAAGAAACTCTGCCAACACAATTAGCTTGGTTTTCTGAATGTAGCAAATACCTTTGTATGTCTATACTTTTAGACATATTTCCTCAAAGGCAGAGGATACATTGATTGCCTCTGTCCTTCCCTAATACCTAGTACAGTCCATGACCATCTGCAGAATTCCGTCTCTTTTAAAGGAAGCTACTTTGCATATACCATTGAGGGATGGCAATTGTTTTAAAAAGCAATCTTTTACCCAGGCATGAAAATGAGGGGCTAGAATGGTGGAATAATTAGATGTGTAGGACCCAGATCCTAAGGAGAACTCAATTGTATTGCTAAGGTAAACAAAGGAAAAGTTTAGCGTGGGGGGGGCGGGAACTCTAAAGATGCAAAAACCCTCAGGGGGTCATTACTGGGTGAAAAGTGAAGTTCCCATTAGAAGTTTAAAACAGTGGTGCATGGCGGGAGAAGTAAGGAGAGGCAATCTTTCATAGAAGGTAAGCCTCAACCAAACAAGAATCAGGGACCAGACACAGAAACTAGGGGCTAGTAGGAAACTGGAACAGAACTCAGGATCCCAAATGGACCAAATGGTATTAGTAAGAAAACCAAGATGTGAATTCAGTCGTGAGAGGTAAGGCTGAGCCAAAGTCAGGGGAAGAGTACTCAGGCTCAAGCTAAACAGCAATGCCACCTCACCAGTCAACAGTGACCTTGCCAGCTGTGTTTCTAAGGGGCAGCTGGTTCTGTCTAGGGCCTGAGTGGGGTTGAGCCAGCATGTCCAGTCTCAGTGTCTCTGTAGAACTTGCCAGTGTGCTGGTTATGAGACCAAGAATAACACTTCACAGGAATAAGCACAGGTAAGGGACTGGTATTGAATATCTTTCTCAGTCATGCAAAGTTACACGCTAATAACCAGCAACTTATTCTTACATAGTGGAGTTAGTGCTACACACACCCCCAAGGAAGCCTCTAATAAAACATAACAGAAATCAACTGTTTCCTATTTCTATTATTCATGCAAAACACAAGAACTAAATCACCTTCTAAATACTAAAATGGGCAGCAGCAAGATCATGGTAATCATTGCAAGTGTCCACAGCACCTAACAGGACTACCCCCCCCCCCAGACATTCTCTTCCCTTGACTTTATTATTCCCACTTCCCCTGTTTGGTGACCAATCCAGATACTTGTCCATAGCTCACACTTTTCTGTGTTTCACACTTCCAGATGTCAGTGTCCCAGTCTTCCCTCCTGAGCTTCTCACCTTTGTCATTACTATCCGTCCACTAGGTGATCTCATCATATCTCAGAGCCTTGAAAATATATACAGGACACACACATGCACAGACATATGTGTATACATATGTGGATATATGTGTGTGTGTCCTAAATTCATTTCTCCAGCCTCAGCTCTCCCTTGACTGCCATACTTTTCTATGTCTAATTTTAATGATTAGCATTTTCTACTGGACTAATAGATTTCTCAAAATGAACCCATATGAAACTCAATTCTTGACTCCCCTTGCCCTGACCCCTCATCATTCATGAGTTCCTCCAACCAAAATCTGAATGCATCCATATCTGAATCACTACCAGAGCCATGCCTGCTTTCCTTCTTTCCCTCTGCTCTCCCCCAGACAATTTCTCATGTTCCACTGCCACCCAGCTCCTAAGCCCGCTCCTCCTCCATCCTGGATGGCCTACAGGCAGCCTGACTGGTCTTCCTGATTCTACTCAATCCATTCTCAACCCAGCATGGGAAGTTGCTCTTCTTCAGGAATGTTCTTCCTCCAGACCTATGCACACGTGGTTCCTTGCTATCATTT